CAAGCATAATCGGCATTTCACAAGAACATGTGGATCACATTATTGCTTTGTTTGGCTATCGGAAGATCTGTGTGCGACGGATACGTTGAGAGAACTGCGAGATGCTGGTTGCGGAAACAGAGTGTCGACTTCTTCCATGACGGCTTCAGAAAACTTGTTCATCATTGGCAGAACTGTATCCAATTGTCTGGTGATTATGTGGAAAAGTTTTTCTTTGTTGTGTCAGGAGCGACTTGAGAAACTGCAAGTCACTTCTGGTGTGAGAGAATTGGCCGTCTGCAAGGACGTTGCCCAGGGGCTGCCCGGATGATTTGATGTTTTATCATCCTTGTGGGAGGCTTCTCTCATGTCCCCGCATGTGGAAAAGTGAATAGTGGTAGTTAAAGAGCACATTCTAAGGATTATTTCTGCCTTTGCTTTATGAAAAATATTCCCATCCAAACCCAAGTAACAAAGGTGGAGGCATAATTTTCTTTCAACCCTCGTAATCCAGTTCAAAGCAGATAACGTGGATTATCTGATTTGATAATCTGCATTATAGGGCAGTGTAGAAGGGACGAAACACATGCTGTATCAGTGAGCACGAAAAATCTCTCTCTAGGTCTTTTCAGTAACGGCAATGTGATTGTGAAGTGGGTAGGGAAAAATCTTGCCTCTTGATAGGAAGTTGTACCTGTAGAGATATATACACAAGACTGCACAGCATGCCCTCAGTATCTGCTGGGGTTCGTTCCAGGATCCCTCATGGATACCAAAGTCTATAGAGGCATGGGTCCCATTCTATGCAATGGCATCGTAAAATGGTGAACAACGCAAGTGGATGATGCACTTTACTAAAGATTTAAGATTATTTGCATACCGCACATATCTCCAAAAACCTATCCATTTCACTTGGTTGTGTCCAGCATTTTTTAAAAATTTTAATCATTACATTTGGCCCGGCCTTAGATTTTAACTGCGTCGTGATGTTATTGTTTAATGTTTATTGTTATTGTTTGATGTTTATTGCTTTGTTTTATGAGTTTATTTACTGTTGTATTTGTTATGCTACTGTTTTACTGTTGTATCTGGCCTCGGCCTCTTGTAAGCCACACCGAGTCCTTCGGGAGATGTTAGCGGGGTATAAATAAAGGATTATTATTATTATTATTATTATTATTATTGAAAGAGCATGAGGATCTGAAAACTGGTGGGACGCTACAGCAGGATATGTCTACACAGCTTAGTGTTTGGCATGCAGCAAAATCAAGCTTTGCTTTTTGGATTTTTTTCTCTCTGAATATTTTTTATCGATTGTTGGTTGATAATGCCAAAGCCATGAATATGGGGGTCCCCAAACTTTTTAAACAGAGCGCCAGGTCACAGTCCTTCAAACTATTCAAGGGCCGGATTGTAATTTGGAAAAAAACCCCCACGAATTCCTATGCACACTGCACATGCCTTATTTGTAGTGCAAAAAAACACTTTAAAACAATACAATAATTAAAATGGAGAACAAGTTTAACAAATTAGGTTTTCAATGGGTACTGTGGGCTTGCCTTTGACTGGTGAGATAGGATTGTTGTTGTGTGCTTTCAAGTAATTTCAGGCTTAGGTTGACCCTGAACGAGGGCCGGGTAAATGACCTTGGAGGGCCGTATCTGGCCCCGGGCCTTAGTTTGAGGACCCCTGATCTACATCTTGCTATGTTCAGATAGAGCTGGTTGCTTGTAAAGAGTGAAAAACAACTCAGTACATACCTTGGATATTGGAAAGCAAGCCCTAATTTAATGTCCTCATTGAAACGGCTCTCAGTGATGCCTGGACTTTGGTTTCTGTGGAAATATATTTTCCCATTCGTTGTTACCCTTACTCAGTACTGTTCCATCCAGCCGTTTAGTTTATAAATACATTTCAGCATGATCACATTTGCGCTAATAAAACCCAGTGCCTGATTCATTCATATTTGTTCTGCTTTGACTGGGTATCCGTGGAATGAACAACATGAGAAGATCTTGGCAGCATTCAGGGGTCAGGGCAAGTCTTCAGCTTCTTGGGAAAAAAAATATGCTGCAACTCCACAATGTTTGGGCTCAGCACAGGGAGAGCAGCCAAGGGAGGTAGTCAGCAAAACTGAAATGGTAATTAAGAGTGCACATGCTGGTGGCTGGCTTTCTCAAAAAGGGCCTAGCGTTGATCCTGCTAAAACCGTTTACTTTAATGGAAAGTGCTCTGGGCTTTTAAACCCGGTAGCTCTGCAGCGTATTGTAAATGGAAGATCAAAGTTACAAAGATGGCCATTCATGGCTTTGGCACCATTCCCTGACTTTCCAGTTCCATTTGGCAAGCCTGCCCGCTTTAAAACGCTGAAGCCTCTGTCCGGGTGGAATGCAGTGCGTAGGGTTGTGTATGAGAGGCTATCATGGGAAAAGAAGAGTGATTATTTCTCTCCCTAACCCCTGGAATAGCTGTTTATGTGGATTCTTCTGTGCTATTACAGAGATCTCCAGAGGTAGCTGAATCTCTGTCCTGCGATTTGAGGTTGGCTCATTTATCACACCAAGTAAACATTTTCCTTCTAACTTTGCTGAAATTACTCTTGCCTCTTTCTTTCTGGATTAGGGTCCCAGTTACTAACATGTTAAGTTAGTGTGATGACAATGAAAATGGTCTTCCAGATACTAGGGCTGAGCGGTTTCGGTCGTTAAT